ATTATATTTATTAATTTTTAATAATTTATTTATTTTTTATATTTTAAATTTTAAATTTATTTTTTAATTTAATTTTTTACTTAGTTTTCTTAATAAAATTATTAAAGTTGGTCAAAATTTGACAATAATACTAATAATATTTTATATATTTTTATTCTATTTAAATTTTAAATAAAATGATTAAAAGTCATTAAATAGCATAAAAAGTGAATTTATGTATCATTAGTATTACGAACTTTATAAATACCAAACCTATCTTGACAAAAATTAAAATTTGAGTATTTTTAAACCTTCTAAATAACTTTACTTAAACTATAAAAAACAATTTCTTAAACTAAAATGCTGAAATTATGCAAAACATTAAAAAAGTGAATTTGTGTATCATTAGCATTATGAATTTTACGAATACCAAATTAACCTTAATGAAAATTAAAATTTGAGTAATATCTAAAGATACTAATGATCATGGTCATGACTAATTATAATTGGTTATAATTGTGACTAATATCAGTTAGTCAAAGGCTTTTAATGACTGGTTGACTAACTGATTCTAACTTATTTTGACCAACTGGTTAATCAACTGATTCGAGACTGAATAAACATATTTTAAATAGTAAAAACACTTTGTAATAAATTAATAAAATCAACATTTTATTTTAATTATAAATAAATTAAAATTTTGAAATTTTAAAAAAAAAAAATTAAAGTTAGCAATAATGCTACGTCATTAAATAAAAATGATAAGATAGTTTTAAAAAAATACCATATTAAATTTGTTAAAGCAAGAATCAAAATTATAAATATTTAACTAAATTAAACTTACATTAAGTCAAAATTGTTTAATTATATTATTATTAACTAGTCAGTCAACCGGTCAGTTAAAATTGGTTAGTTAACTAATCAATAAATCAAAGGCTTTTAACTGATCGTTAACTAACTATTGACTAACTATGATTAACTGTCACTATTTTTAATAGTATCATTAAATAACTTTACTTAGACTATAAAAAATAATTTTCTTAAACTAAAATACCAAAATAATGCAAAATATTAAAAAAGTAAATTTGTGTATCATTAACATTATGAACTTCATAAATATTAAATCAACCTTGACAAAAATTGAGATTAAAGTAATTTTAAACTTGCTGAATAACTTTATTTAAGGTATCTTTATATATTTTATTTTCCAAAGTTTTTATATTTCACCTGAATAAAAAAAAGTAAGAGAATTTTTTTTGCAAAAAATACTACTCAAAATTTTTTTCTGTAATCTGAAATATACAAAATTTTTGATAATTAAGCGAGCATATCATATATGATTTTTTATTGATATTTTTGTTTTTTTTTTAAAAAATATAAATAGAAAATTTTTTTTTAAAAAAAAAGATCAGATCAATTACAATATTTACAAATATACATAAATATACAAAAATTTTGTAACAAATAAAATAAATTGATAAACTAAATATTTGAAATATATAATATAAAATAATATAATGCTAATAATAATTTTTATGCTAAGATATTTTTTAATAAAATAAGATAGATCGATAAAGATTATTTAAATCAATAAAAATATTTAAAATATGATAGTTAAATTTAATATAATACAAAAGTATCATATGAATGCTTAAATCACAAATTTATTCTAATGATAACTTAGTAGTATAGCTATAGCTGTAGTTGTAGTAGTAGCTGTAGCTTATAAAACAGCTATATAAATTTCAAATTCAATGTTCATAAGATGCAATACCAAAATCAGTCAAAATATATAGAGATTGTTATAGATCTGTATAACTAAAGAATAAATTAAGCAAAAAGTAAATAAATGTAAAAATAATCATCAAAAATTCACATCATCAAAGTATATCTTTACCAAATAGAAATAAACTAAAATAAATTAAAAATCAATTTAGATTTCAAAAATATTACCTTCTATAATAAATTTTTAGTAGAACTATTTTATATACAAATATACTTTTAATTTTTTAAACTAGAAAAATAGTCTTACTTATTATTTATTTATGACTACTTAATTCATAGAATAATTCATAAGAAAATACATAAAAACATTAATTATCTAGATTATAATTAATTGAATATTAATAAAATATAAAATTTCAATATTTTGAAAAATTTCCATTTTTTAATAATTATCAAGTTAAGATAATTAAAATAAGCTATATATAGAGAACATACACATTAAGAAGAATTTTATAACATTTATTTGTCAAATTTTAATCAAAATAATCTTTTGTTTATCTCCTAATTATTTTTGTCTTGAAACTTTATTTAAAGTTGATAAGCAAAATCTTAATGATCTAAGCTACCTGCATTATAATATCCTTCTAACTTCTAGTATTGTAATCATTTATTTAACAAATGGTTGATTCTAATATTGTAAAAATGTCAAATTGATTTGCTTGCTTTCTGATTCGTTTAGGAATTATATTAGGATATGAAGATTTAGGATTATCTTTTTGCAATGTGAGCCAAATATGTATAGTTTTTAACTAAATGAAAGAGTAGGTAAAATCTAAATTCCAGATGGATTATCCTTTAGCTGATATAGGAATTATTAATTATCATAAGTGGAAAGTATTTCTTACTAAAGTTTTAGTTCTGCTATATAAAAATAGATTTGAACTATATCCTTTAATTTACTGTTAGAAAAATAATCCAACTGTTTATGATTTAACATTAAGATTAGTTGCCTCTTAAATTCAATTAGAATAATTATTTTCGTAACGATAAGTGATATTTGGTCTTCTTTTATAGGCAAAGTTAGAGGGTTTTTGTTTTGAAAAATATAATTTTTCCTTAAAGATTGTTCAATATTATAAAGATATTGACAGTTAATACAACATAATCATTATCTTTAATGCATATGATATATTCTTGTTAAAATCTGGTTCATTGAATTTTGGTTCAAAGCTGTACTGATTTGTCATATTAAATAATCCTGTCCAATTGTTTACAGTTGCTAGTATTACACCTTCCATATGCATAATATGTTGGGATTTACTAGTATCTAAAGGATATGTAACAAATGGTAGGACATAAGATAATGCTTGTTTTTGACTAAGCTTCCCTATAAACAAATAAACCAATATAAGAATGAAAAATATTATGAAAAGAACTTTCAGAAGATATCAAAATTATCTTACCCTGTATTATTATTTTTACCTTTTGATCAATGTGGATGAGTTATCTGCATATGTATCTGAGTCTATCTCAATATTATGATAATTATTCATTCCTTGAGAAGAAACGTTTAAATTAAATTCATATGCTCACGTGCCCTCAAATCCATCAAAAAAGGAGGAAACGTTGAATAGATTTGGTATCCAACATGTAAAATTAGTCAAGTATAATATGCTTGTTATTATAATGAAATGGATAAGTATGTAAAAGTAGTTGTGGTGGGTAAAGTCTGTTGGATAAAGTAGGTGGATAAAGGCAGTTAAATACGTTGGTACCTTCGTATCATTAGGGAGGTTTGCTACTAAAATCACTTTATGGATCATATGATTTACTATGTTCATAATTCAATATTAATAACAAACCTTCCATGTCATGCCATTAATTAAAAAAATTTACTTGAAAAATAATATGAAGAATCCGTTTGATTTTTATTTGTTGATTTCATAACAAAATGCAATTTAAATGATCTGATTAAGGTATTATTGAATTTTTGAAGAATAAAGTGATAGCCTTGCATTACTTTTGAATAATTTAAAAAATCTACGATTATATACGGAAACCGTTCCCTTTATTCAACGATTTGGCAATTCTTAATATTAGGTTGTCGGATTTACTTATTTTAATAATATCTACTGCGATAACTGATTTTACAAAAAGATGTGAACAAAATTACAAACCTTGTATGGGTTCTGTTGTGGCGAGTAAGGGACTAACAAAAAAAAACGCGTTTACAAGAAAGAAAATATGACCGTTATTCTTCGATATCAAATTTGCTTCTTTTGACATGAACAAACGAAATGGAGAATCGGCATCCCAAAAAGGTTAATGTAAATTTATCATGTCTAAGGGGGCATACTCAAATCTAATTTTGGCAAAAAAGTCGAAACCTTTCGATCTCGATGGTTTCGACGGGTTTTGATTTCGATGCCTGTCGAAACCTCCGGGTTTTGCCCGGCAACCTCATCTATACCATCATGCATAAATTTCCTTTTTTTTATATTACGTATACGCTATTTTCTGTGTGGTGCAGACATAATGTATTATGTTGACGTACTAGCAAAAAATTATAAAACTTGGTACCACATTAATTATGACTAGGTTCACTTTATTAATATATTAAATTAGGGAGATGGTTGATAATCTTTAAAAAACAAGCGATATGTGAAATTTTCATTCCATTAATTATTTTACATTAAAACATAAGGAAACAAACACTAATTACTGAAGTGATTGCACCAACAACAGCAAGTGTACCACTTATATTTACCCGTGAACCACTACTCTGACCGCAACTGCTACCGCCATCGACAATTTTGTCAAAACTCATGTTACAAACGTTGTGTTTGACTTCGGTGGAATTGTAGTTGTAGCTGGTGTTATAGCTGGTGTTGTTGTAATTGGTATTGTTGCTGTTATTGCCATTGTTGCTGTTATTTCCATTGTTGTTGTTGTTGTTATTTCCATTATTGTTGCCGTTGTCATCATTACTGTTTCCGCTGTTTTTGCCATTATTGTTTCCATTTTTGTTATCGTTATTATTATTAGTCTGTCTCTTCATAGGAGAAGCATTTATTGATCCAATATCTTCGTCAAGAAAACCATCTCTTTTGAATTTTATCTGATAATATAAATTATATTAGTTATTTAAAAGATTTATGATATTTAACTAGTAAAGCTTACATCGTCTTGAAACTTTTCATTAACCGTAGAACGTTTAAAATCTCGGCCAAGGTTATCGTCGGATATTTCCGCATTACCATAATATATGAAAAGCAAGGAAAATAGAATACAGAGGTAGATAATTTTTGTTTTTGATATCATCATGTATTTATATAAAGAGGTTAACAAATTGTTAATTTATTTTTGCTAACTTTCAATGGTGTGGTATTTTTTTTTTTTTTTTGAGAAATTTCATTTTTATGGTTAATTTCACGATAAACAAAAATGTACGAGATGTTTCACCGAATTAATTACAAAGAAAAAAATATCGTTACAGAAACTCCATACTGATCTACAGTATGCATTCACAAAAATAGAGTAATTCTAGAAATTGAAAAAAATCTCAGATAACAAATATAGTTAAAACGACTAAACTGATACAAATGCTAATTTGAATTATTTACGCTCAGAAATCATATAAAAGCATCTGGATAAGTGTTGATTTTAATTTATTTTTATTTTAATTTACTTTTTCTATATCTGATCTTTTTTTTTTTTTTTATTTTTTGGTCGCTTCGGTGCGTGATTTTTTTTTGATTATTTCATTTAATTATTTTTTATATATTTTAGACGATTTCTTTTTAGTTGGAAGCATAGATAGGGTTTATTATGATTTTTTTTTCTAGATAATTCCAATTTGATATGTTTTTCATTAAATCCTTCTTTTAAAGAGAGTCCTTTGCATGCCTAATAGTTTTATTTTCTATTTATTCTTTTAGCTTCTTCCTTGTATATTCGGAAGTAAGCGCGGTATGTAAGTTTTTATTATGTTCAATTTTGGTTTTATTTTTTTTACTTTTAGGTTAGATCGCTTTAGGCCGTAGCCATAGCTAATATTTTATATTTCCCGTTATTATCTTTTATATTGCTCTAGTGGTAGTGAATCGATGAGTTACCCTAGTTTAATATTATAACGATTAGTGCTCCGTAAGGGTCGGGTCGGGTCGGGTTTGAAGCATATTCGAACTCGAACCCGTTAATAATTACAGAACCCG